ATGCATCAAAATGCAGGAATTTTGGGTGCTGAACCCCCTTACTTGGCTTCGATTATTTTCAGGATTTTTAGAAAAGGGACACTTTCATCTCTGCATACATTGTGTCAACTCATCTCTCGAGGGTTTTTATTCCTATTTGTAGTACCGGAAGAAGATGGGCAATTGATGACCTTTCTCTTCTTAGTCGTTTCCTTTAGCCTTCTCGGTTTACCATGGACTCATTTCTTTCTCTCCAGTGACACTTTGCATCTGACCTATGGATGACAAAGTTCGATGTCATTGATGTCTGTTGCATATCATGATCATGGAGTCTTCACGTTGTTATCTCTGTTTTGTGCTTGAGAAACAGGTTTTCAGTTTCGTGCTCTACCTTTCGGTTTCGCATTTGTTCCATACATCTTATGGCAGATAGTCAGATCCTTATCATGTCATCTTCACTCATTAGGCACTCACACTCACCATTATATGGACAACTGGCTTCTTCTCGCTCCTTCCTGCCACTTTGCAAAACTTCATGCTCGAGCACTTTTATCCGAAGCTGAGAGAGCTTGGTTTCTTGTCAAAATGGAAAAGTCTATTCTTACTCCCACACAGTACCTCATTCATTTAAAGGTATTTTTCAATTCACATATCAGTGGGACCCAACCTTCTCTTCTATACCTTCAGGCCATGGAACAGGCTGTTCTTTTAATGCAGTAGTTTCCTTCTATACTGGCAAGTGCAGTTCTATCTCTTTTTGGGATATGGTCATCCTTAGAATTACTCATTCCTTTGGGTCGAACCCACATGTGTTCCTTTCAGGGAATATTACAGGATCAATGGAACACTTGCATGGATGTGCTGGATTGCCGAGTGACCCTATCAGTTTCCACCCTGCTCAATCTTAGCTGGTGATTGAACAGGGACAACACAACAGCACCACCACATCCAGAGATGCATCTTTTCATGGATGCTTCTCTCCAGGGTTGGGGAACTTGTGTAGGGGTTGTGGAATTCAAGGGCCTCTGGACAGAAGAGGAATCTTTTTTCCACAGCAATCTTTTAGAGCTTCTAGCAGTTCAACAACCTATGTCTCAGGATCTTGAAATGTTATGAGGGAAGATGGCAATGCTTCACTCAACAATTAACTGTGGTCTCCTACATTTCCAAGCAAGTGGGCACTCATTCTAGGTCTCTTTGTTTTCAGACATTGGATCTTTTCCTCTGGGCTCACAATCATTAGATTGTTCTCCTTGCTTGTCATGTTCCAAGTGTTATGGATTTAGTGACCAATAAATTATCTTGCCCCAACAGAGTTCTTCCCATGGAATGAATGCTTCATCCACAAGTTTTTCATTGAATCTGTTCTCTTCAAAGGATGCCTCAGATCAATGCTTTTGCCACTCCCTGGAATGTCCAGCTCCCATCCTTCTGGTCTCCTGTCCCTCACCTTTGGAATTTTGGCATAGAAGCTCTCAGCCAGGATTGGATTGGTCTTCATCTTTACGTGTTCCCTCCAATTCATCTGTTATCCAAAATTCTTGGACTGATTTGCTCCTCGTCCTGTCAAGTTCTTTTAGTGACACCATATTGGCTTATTCAGCCTTGGTTTCCACTTCTTCAGTATCTTAAGGAGCCAACCTTTTCTGCTTCCTCTTTGGTCATCCCTCTTACTTCAGCCTTGGTCGGATAATTTCATCTAGTGATTACCATTCTCCGGCTTCCTGCCTGGCTTTTATACCATATGTTGCACAACGTCAGGGATTGACCTCTCAGGTGGCATCTTTATTAATGTGGTCCATTCAGTGTTCTTCATTGGATGTTTATAACAAATGAGTTACTTATTGTCATTGGCCTTTCAGACATGGTTTAATCCTTCTCATCCCACTGTGCCGCATGTTTCTCAATTTCTTACATGGTTATTTGACAAAGGTTTGGCACCTTTGTCCATTTCTCTATATAAGGCAGCTTTGTCAGCTATTTTTTGTTATTCTGGAAGACTTAAACTGTTTGAGTCTCCAGTTTTGTCCTTGTTTCTGAAATCTTTTGGGGTTATCCATCCTCATTGTCCTTTCCGGGTTACTAGTTGGGATATCTAGGTTCTTCTTCATGCCTCATCTTTTCCACCCTTTGAACCCTTGGCATCATGTTCCTTATATCATCTTTCCCTTAAGACTTATTTTCTTCTCTTGTTTGCTAGCAAATGTTGATGTTTGGATATTTGCGATTCATATTCACAGGACTCTTTACCATTCCACTTATGTTCTGTACTTCAGCAAGTAGAGAAGGGTATAAAGCTTTCTCTCCTGTCCATCTTCCCTCCATTTCTCATTTTTATGAATGCTCAGATCCGGATCGTCTTTTATGCCCAGTTGCGTGCACTGAAGGGTTTCAAATTTCACATCACAGTTTGTTTATCCATTGGGTTCCTAAGATGTCACATGACTTATCCCCTGTCACTTTGACAGGTTGGATTTGTCAGTTGGTGCGTATTGCTTACTCTGGGCTTTCATTGGAGTAATGGAGACTTCTTTGGGTCCCATCTCATCCAATTTGCCATACCTCAATATCCCTGGTGAGTCAGTTGCATTATCTGCTGGAGGATATTGTACAGGCTGGTATGTAGACCATGCCTAATACATTTATACCTGATTATTTACATGATTTGGAGGTTGCCTCCTTGGAAGGTTTTCAGTTACTCCCCGTGCCCCAGATAGTTTGTAAGAGAGGTGAGTGACTTCATTTCTTTTGTGTTTATTTCTGTTCTCTTCATTTTCATTTGAATCTCACACTGTTGTTGGTGTTGCCTGGTCAGGTATGCTTATTTCTAAATCTGCACAAGCTACCAGTTGACTGATAAAAAAAATTTCCAGCTAACAGCAAGCTCTGTTGAGATTGGATGTTTCGTAATACCACCTTGTGCACTTTCTGGTTGATAAACACGCTACTTGACTGACACTCATGGACTATCATGAGTAAAGCTCAACTCTTTCCACATGGGCTCAGTCAATTTGACTGACCAAGTGACCTCTTTGAACTCATTTAAAGTCTTTATTAATTTAATACTTCTAACTTTCAATACAGTGTGTATATCTTCACAAAATTTGGCAGTCTTTCAGTTAATATTATAAGCCTTTCACATACAAAAAATCATATTTTTTAGTGAAGTATTTTTAATAAAATAAAATAATGATTTGTCCAGGAATATAGTGAGTATTTGTTTTGAATAGTCTGTGTGCAAAGTAATTTTCATGTTAAAATTAAAAATACTTTTCCTCATCTCAAAAATCTCAAATTTCCTTTGTATAATCCCTAAAACCTCTTAAATGCATTTCAAACGTTTTTTTTTCCAGTAAAACTTTATAGTGTATCAGTTATTTTCTCTACCCTGTCTTAAAAATGGGATGGGTCAATTCGAACCGACCTCATAACCACCAAAAAGAAATTGAAATAAATCTAAATTACTTTTTTTTCTTGCTAGAATTACTTCATATTGTAACATGAAACAACATTAATTTATCCTGAGGTACTGCATGTATTAAAAAGAACACCAGTGCATAGTTTATAATGTGGATATAAGATGTACCATAGTTACCTTATTCACTTACAATGGTATGACGTTATCTATTTCTTTGGAGAGCAGTCACCTTCCCACAACTGTCTGCAGGTTGTGAAGGGTGATACAGATGTGGGATATTCTGGGCTTGAGCACCCCATCTCCCAACTTATTTTATGTTAATTCTTCATTCCCTAACATATGAGACTAGCAAATGGAGGTTAAGACTGGTAGACAGTGTATTCCCACCAGTTTTCTGTTATGTTGAAATAGTGTAGTTTAGAAATTAGATATTTTCTGTAGAACCTTATCAAACAATATTTGAAATGTAAGAAAACATGCAGAATTGTATCCTTACTTTTAAATTCAGTAGCATTATTATGGAGCTTGAGCAAGCTTTATGAAACACGTAATTCACATTCCTAAGATCATTTTTTGCTCAAGTTCTAACTAGATATTATAAGATCCAACACCCTCAAACTGATATGTCTGTAGTTTTCTAGTTTTTCTTGAACTGCTTCTTTCCAAAGATAGAGGCTGTTGTACATTGAGGATGAATTTTTCAATCTGAACAATGAATCTCCATTCTATCAGACAAATCTTTAATACCCGAAGAAATGAAATAAAACAAACATCAAAGTTTGGTGTTATGTTATTTTTGATACTTTGTTGAACTTAAATATTTGACATCTTCATTTTGAATTCAGTTAATGTCTGTTTAGTTTTACATTTTTTGATCTAGTCATATTTTATTTACAAAGTCCTTTCAATTTTTAAACCCCATCAGTTTATACTGAAAGTTCATTCTGTTTTTTTTAAGCTTTCAGTTCCTAAAAAATCAGTTTAATCTATATCTCCTAACTTGTTATTATGATCAGAAGTGTTACACATTCAGAAGACATTTCAAAATTAAAGAAAAAAAAATTGTCACTTCAATAAAATGTTCATGTACTCTTTTCTACCATTCAATTTTATTACAAAGGAAAGAAATATTTCAACAAATGTTTATTGAAAAGCCACTTGTCTTTCTGTACTGCCAAAACAAACCTGCAGTCATTACATCTGGTTTTGAGATATCCATATGGTACACTTAATTTATTCCCCTAAATTCTGGCCCCAATATTATAAGTTTAATAATAAAAGTGAAATATTTTAAAAAGTTTAGACTTATTTTAGTATCAGGTACATTGCTTAAAGAATGTAAATAACATTGGTGATAATGCCCAATTTGTTTCAGCTAGTCATTTATGAATCTCAGTGCAAAATAAGCAGTTTGTATGCTTTCTCTATACTTGAAAAATAAATTAGAAAATATTGAGGTGTGTAATTTTATTATTATTATTATTAATGTAAAATTCATACATATTTTGATGTATGAAATTTTTTTATATTAATCTGGTAAAACTGGTTCATTCCAGGATGGAAGTGTGTGTCGATTGGCATATGCTGTCCAAAGTGACAGGCTGGACTTGAATGAAAATGAAGGTTCTAAAGTGTAAGTGTACATATAATATGAATTAGTATCTCTATCATTTTTACAAGTAAACCAAATTTTCTTCTTAAAAAAAAGTTAAATGCATTACAGAAAGTTTATATTTCAGTAAGTTTACCATGTGATCCATTGTATTTTCTTTGTCTACTTCTGAATGAAATTGTACATTGTAAGAAAAAGTTTTAAAATGATAAAGATAAAAAATTTTTTAACCAATGTGACCTATGTATATCACTGAGAGTAGTTCTGTGGAGTGCAAATAAGAAAAAAAGTGTTTCATATCAACCTTTTAGTCATGTTTCTGAAATATTTATTGTAAAAAGTGTTTGAATAATTTTTCTTTTCAATTACAAAATATAAAAATGCAAAACAACATATTGCATAAGACTTGCTTTTCCAGCCTTTTGTTTCCATTGCCATTACATTTTGAACCTATTGTAATAAAAAACATCTTGTAAAAGATGAGTATTATTTTGTTCAATTCATTTCATGATTAAGGATACAAATAACAAAATTAGTTTATTGAGAACTTCCAGACTAACATATTGTGCATTGTGCACTTATTTGATTAAATAAAATTTATGAGACATCTTATTTTATAAATATATTTTATCTCAGCAGTATAATATTATTAATTTTTTTCTTTCATATCTTCATTTTACTTGAACATTATTTCTTATTAATCTGATTAAATGAGGAATGTTAGAGTATTTGTTGGTTTCTGCTAATTTTTCAGTGCATTATCATATTTATAGTTATAGCTTTGGCTTTTTTGAATGAAAATGGGCTGAAGTCTGCTGAAAGGTTCTGTTAACTTAGTTTTACTTAATAGTACAATTAATTTAATTTATTATATCCCATTTATTTGTTTTTATTTTTTAATATTTTTTGGTAAGTGATCTTTGCCACAATTTATTTATCAGTTATAGAAAAGTTCTCACAAATAGGGAAATTGTCACTAGCATAAGCTATGCTGTGGATAAAAGTTTTTTTTAAGGGCATATAAAAAGTATTGATTGCAGTCCGAAATAATGCTCTAATATTATTGAAAATTTTTAATTCAGAAAAACAAAACTTAAAGATTAAATTTTTAATATAAAATACAGATTGTGGTTTTTATTTTGTTTTCAGCTTGAATCTTAAAGGTAGTTCCACTACACAGTCAAGTACTAGGGCACCAACTCGTACCCGTGGGCGAATCATGAGAACAACAAGTAGTAGAGGACGAGGCTCTAGTGTAATTATGGGATCTCGACCTGTTGTTCCAACACCCTATGTTCCTGAAGAACTTGTCTCTCAGGTTTGTTTGTCCAGTACTTTTTATTTTTTTATGTCATTTCTTATGGTGTAAAAGCTGGAGGTGAATTAGATTGCACTTAACAAATTCTACTGTAGGTACAAGATCAGGTTTGTTAACATGATAACATAGGTTCAAGGAATATTGTGGAGGGACCTACAGGGCATCCAAAAAGTCTGGAACCATAGGCACTTCAATAAGTTTTACAGAATGTATTCCATATGCTGTCCTTGTAATTCGTCGAAACAATTTTGAGTTTGTATTTCTATTCTCTTTGAACACTGGGAAGCATATTCGTGTCATTGCCAATAGTTGGACACTCGTTGCAAAACCATTATTTCAAATGTTTGGTATCCATGATCTTCTCTTTGTACACACATGCCTTGAGCAGTTCCCAGAAAAGTAAATCAATAGGAGTCATGTTTGGAGATCTTGGGGATCACATCTACCAATCCAATGTCCTGGGAAGGTGTCATTCAACCTAGCTCTGACTTCCGACTTGCAAATCACCTATGGTTCCAGATTTTGGGGTACTCTCAACAGCAAACATTTCTGGTCACTAAATTGTATATTTAATAAAATGTTTGTATTTTATTGTACTTTCCAATATATGAAGTTTTAGCAAATTTATTAAGAAATTTTCCTTATTGCATTGCCATTCAGAATTGTTTTTTTTTAAATGATTTGATCTATTTTGAATTTGAATAAACATTTATGCATATGTATGTGAATATATATTTGTTGTTTTATTCGTAGTAATAGTTTCTAAAGTGTAATAATTTTACAGAATACTTTAAAGTAATATCATCCTGTAGATTTATAGCCTTTAATGTATAGAAGGTTCACTTGTTAGTTTTATAACTATGCTTTCTATTGAAAATACTTCAGAGAAATACTTCCATAGTTTATTCTAATTACTTCATGCAAAAAAAAAAAAGACAAAATTACCTCTGCATATAAATTTTGATGGTGTTGAAACTCCAGGTTATCAAGACTGTTAACAATTGTTACATTTACTTCAAGCCTCTTTTTTTTAAGTTATTATGTTAATGATAGGTTGGATTTCATATCAAAATAGGTTAGAAGATACCATGTTATGTTTAGGAGGTATTCAAGATGAGGAAACTGGGGGTTGCTGGGACCCTAGCACGAACAGGGTGTAGCACCAGGGTGGGAGGCAAGGAGGCCATAGCCCCTAGAAGCTCCTAAATTTTGATAGTATAATTGGTTTTACATAAAATAAAAACTTAAGCAATATTTCTTTCAGGCAGAACTTAAATAATTTTAAATTATTATTATACACCTTTTTTGAATGTTTTTATTATCTCTAAGAAGTATAATTGATAAATCAATTTCATATTTTATAATGATTTTTACTATAAAACTATGTATAAATCTTATTAAGGCTTTCAAATATCTCATGTTTTTTCTGCAGACTGTAGAATCATATTTTGAGTTTAGGTTAAATTCAGTGTCAATGAAAATTGTTATTCCCACATCAGTTCCATTCTGCGAGTATATTACTGAAAAGATGAGACTATAGTAGAAGATCAGGCAAATTAGTCAAATGTATGTGGGGCTCATTATCCTTCTCAGACCCATGAATAAAATTAGACCCTGACAACACGAATTGATCTTAAAGCTGGATTAGTGATAGTTACTGGTAAACATAATCAAATGTTATTCATAATGTTTGCAATCATAAACAAACCCATATTTTTTTCTATTTAAAGGATGGAAAATTTTTGAATCATGCCTTTTCCTTCACCACGTTTGTGATCTCCATCAAAATGTATAACATATCTTTAGGAATAAATTAGTATTTAAGTGACTCTGATATTGGAAGTTCTGTAAATGGCTTTTTGGACTTTCTTTTCAGTTTCTGATGAATTAAGAGACATTTTTATAAAAAATTTGAAGAGGAATTTTGCAATAGTTTTTCTTTGGACTTTTTCATTTGTGTCATGTAGCTATGTTGATAATGGACAAGTAAAACTACTGGGTACCAACCCATTTTGAAATTACTGAATGTAATATAACTATAAAACTAATGTAACCATAATAACATAAAGTTTTCTTGGCAAGTTTGAACTTTTTACAGAGCTGGAAACAGCTAGGAATCATTTTTAGGTTAGGAAGTTGCATGTGAACATTTTAAAAATGTTGCACTTCACTAGATCATATATATTTTTGTACAGAGGTAGAGTTCTGAATGCTCAGTGCAATCTATTGTAGACAATATTAACTGTGGTTATCTACCAGAGGTCAAAATAATGTTTTTGAAATCACTTTGTTTTTGTGTCATTGTATCTTCTAAGGGTGCATAATGTTTTTATTTGCAGCAGTAACATTTCTAAAATTATTTAAATCATGTATTTAAAATCTCATATTTAAGCATCTGCATGTATATTCATGTTCTTTAAAATGTTACTGTTACTGTGATAGATATATAGGTTTAAATGTTCATGCTACATTTTATTTCTTATGTTTATCAGGCTCAGGTTACTGTGATAGATATATAGGTTTAAATGTTCATGCTACATTTTATTTCTTATGTTTATCAGGCTCAGGTGGTTCTCCAAGGGAAGTCTAGAAATGTGATTATACGAGAATTGCAAAGAACAGTAAGCTTTTATTTTTTAATACTAAGTAGTATATACTTTTGATAACTTGGTTTTAAGAGAATTGTAGAGATTAATAATAAACATTTTGTTTCACTCAGTAACTAATTATCTGTTTGATTGTTATAGTACTCCTATTGTTGTCAGAATGTATCTTGGTGTATCATTGAAAATTAAGTCAAGAACACAGAATTTGGGATTGAGATTTTTGCAAGTCAATAGAAATGGGTTAAGTGTGGTAGTGGGGAGTAATATATTGTATAAATTAATGAAAAGGGATTTGATTCCATGTTCTTATAAAAATTTGACAAAAACAAAAGTTTATTCAAATAACCTACATTGCAAATCATTAATTCATTCTACTGATGTTAGGCTTCACTGTAATATCAAGAAGAGAAAAGGTAATCTTCCAAATACAACAATATAGTCCTGAATCTGCATTAACCCTAATATTAATACTTATTACCTTATTCAGAAATGGTCACTCTCATATGAAATAATGGGAACTTTGTTTTGTTATCAATTCACTAAGCATTTAATCAATTTGTAAGTTTTACATAAATATAGTAAATCTAATTTTGTCAATTAGCTTAACTGAGACTTGTCATCTTGTCCTAAATGCAGGACAAATATTAAAAAAGAATTAAAAAATACTAGAGTTCTGTATAGCATAATGTTAAATTTAAGTTAGAATACTCATGTCACATTTAAACTCAAAGACTCACCTAGCAGACTTAAAAGCCCAATGTTAGTGTTTACTCATTGGGTATTAGCTATGTTACTAACATCTGAATGGTCTAAAGAAGGGTGCCTACATAGTTATATATCTGTGTGTGTGTATGTAACAGACAATGAATCATTTTAACTTGTAAACATATCTGTAGACAATAATGTGATTTATTACTGTTTACTTTATGCACAGATTAGTTTTGTGAAAGTCTTTCATATTTGCCTCCTAATTCACTTGGCCTTATTCATATTTTATTAACCCTCTGAGTACAGTAGGTCAAAGTGAGCATGTGATGAACTTTTTACAAAGTTACATTCAAAATTATAGTAAACTACTTTATTATCAATTTATGTCAATAAACTTAGCATCAAGATGTATTTTATAATTTATATTTTAATATATAAGTTTTAATTTCTTAATTTCAAATAGAAATATTGAAAAAATTCTCAATCTTCTCTGTATGACTTGACACTTCTCTCTGAATTGCCTATCTTAGAATTTCTTTCTAACACTTTTATGATCTTTTATATTTCTCTTAAATTACTTATACTGTAGGTATCTCTGAGCCTCTTGCTTTACTATAGTATATATAATAAAGTGAAATCCACATCCCATGCCCCTCCTAGCACATCATGTCTTTCAAAAGTGTCAATAATTCTTTGACATCTGCTATTAGATTATTTCTAACCAATAGAAAGAAAAAATCCAATTTATTATATGTTATGAGGATAGGATCGTTCACGTGACATGTTTTGAAAAATTCTTTGTCAGTTTCATTGTCTGCCATTGTTAGAGTTCACCTTGACCAGCTATTGGAATTATTTCAAAATATTTGTGGCTCAGCTAGAAAGCCAATTAAATTGTGTTAATTTTAAAGCATTCTATTTTTTGTATTCAGCAAAGTTTTTATATTCTAAATTAATTATTTGAATTTTAAAAAACTCGTTTGTGAGAGAGCACCATTGTTACAAAATAATAGGCCTAGTAAGTATCAGGGAATTCTTTCTTATGAGTACAAAAGCTTTAAAAAGACAAGATTTCACTTTAAAATACTGATTTTCCTGTTTTTTATGTTTATTGTTATAAAAGGGACTAAAATGTAAAACTTGGAAACTTTTTAGGTTAGATAAGAAATCTTAAATGAAAACAAAACAAGTTATTTATGATAGCACATGCATGTTATGAGTTTGCAGTTTAATTCAACATGGTGCTGGTAACTTGAACTTATGTTCACGCAAAGCGGTCCTGTGCAATAAATAACTTTCTCTGTACTCCAAGAGAGTCTGTATGCGACTATAAAGAAATAAAACTTAAGTGTTTTAGCTTTGGCTGTCAGAGTAAATAGTGTTTAAACATTTGTTACAATGCACAGTCACTTAGGTCTGTCAGTCTAAAAATCTTGTATACAGTTAGTGTTAGGGAAGAGAAAGTAACAGATAGAATATAAAATTTTACTGAAAAACTTGATACTCATTTAGGAGGTTATACAGGTTATGAAAATGAAATATTAAACTAAGATAAAAAAGTATTTTTTTTCTTAACATGAAAATCACTTTTAACTAAGACTGACTCATTAAAGGCTTTGTATGTTAAGAGACAATTCTTTAGTAAAAATACTTCATCAAAACTTTTTTTTTCTGTGTACATCAGACTGGTAATGTTTACTGAAAGCTTGCCATATTTTGTGAAGATACACTTACTACATTCAAAGTTATGTATAGTTTCATAGTTGCATATGGTGGTTAAAAAATTGGTCAAAATGATTTCACATATACAGAGAGTTAATAGTTTCATTAATAAATAAGTACAAGACCATCATTTAGTGAATGACATTGCTTATTCCTATCAGGGGACAAAATATTAAGGTTCGCATCACAATTTGTGAATCAAAATAATCCCAGTTGCAAATCATTCTTTTCTTTTGTATGTTGTTTTTGAGACCTCCAACAAAACAGTGAAAGTACCATAATGTTTCAGTCTGATAAGCCAAAGCTGATGTTCATTTCTTGGAAATTCCTGCCAAATGGCACATATGGTATTTTCACACTTTGTCATGTGCATATCGCATACACATCTATTTTGTAGTAGTCTGTTCATGATGTTTGAAATGCACCCAGTTGGTGCCTGCAGCCTAACCAACTAGGCTAGACTATTTGTGTACTGTACATGCACTGCACATTTAGAATGTAAGCTCTAAAACCTCCTAAAGACATTTCAAATGTTTTTCAGTAAAACTTTATATTCTATCTGTTATTTTCATTGCCCAAACTCTATACAAAGCTGGTCAGTTTGACCAACCTTGTAACTACCAAAAGAAGAATTGAAATGAATCTAGATTATCCTTTTTGTCTTTCTAGAATGATTTCAAATTATAACATGAAACTACATTTGTTTATCCTAAACAGTTTTAAACTTGTAACAGTATACATCTATTTATACTTAAATTTTATTGTTTTATTGCACTTTGAACTTGTCTAACTACTAGTACTACTTGTGCTATTATAATGCAAGTTGTGAATCACTTGGGGGAATGTGACTCACATTATGCTATCGAATTACTTTACCCATGAGCTACTCCAAGCCGCTTGCGTGTGTGCCTTGTGAACATTTTTTATTATAATATTATTATTATTTATTTGATCTAATCTAACCTTAATGCACCTAAAGAGTTTCCTTTTTTTTACATTTTAGTTACTTTTATAATAATAAATATAAAATACATGTTAAAAATAAGAAATAAAGTACTTACCTAGGCCTTCTTTTTTATGCTGTCAGCTGGATGACACTTAACCATACTTTTTTAATACTTATGGTAGAGTGCACTTAATTAAATAATGCACCAAAAAATATAGAAGAATAATGTGCAAAAAGCAAACAATGCCCAATAACTATCACAATTTTTCTGACTTCCTAACTATGTAACAAGAACCATCTAAGCTAGTCAGTATCTTTCCATTTGGAACGAAGCTTGTACTGAAAGAGAAATTGACAGTAACAATGTACAAAAAACAATGTAATCTAATACATCATTTGATATATTAAAACCTTGGATTCCTATTGGTTATAAATAATATAGTATTAAGTGTAAGAGAGAACTACCAACAAATCCTGTGACTGGTGGGTGTAGCGAGAGGGGCCTGATTTCCTATTTGAAAGCTCTGTAACCAAACAAAATTGAAGGCTAGAAAAAGTATGCTTTATCTGAGTAAAAAAAATGTTATAATAAGCAATTTATGTTTATACTTTTTGGAGGGGTGGTAAATAAATTAGAGAAGAGAGGATGCCTTGAGAAAATGTTACATTTCTATCACTAGGGAAAATTCAGGATCTTTTCTTAATATTGCCTTATCAAATTAAGAACTTAAAATTTGTATACTATAAAAATATGGATTATTAGCTACAATTTTATGCTATACTAATTGGTATAGCATGAACAAACAAAAAATAATTGAAATAAATTTTGAATGTAACTCACTAAAAACCTTTGACATGCACAACAAAGATGCCTGTGGTGATAGGGGTAATTACTGCTGAAATGTCACTAGACATTTTCTTTTTCAAAAAAGCCAACGAGACCCACACTGAAAAGAGAATGATGGGGTCCCAAAAAAAATAATAATAATAAACGATTAATTTGAAAAAACGATTTGTGGCAACCTTGTTCAGTTGCAATATCTTCAAGCCATTTCTTTCTCTGATTAATTGATTGTTGTATTATGTTGTGGTAGCTGAGGTGTTTGATATTTCTTGCAGTTTTGAAGTTTTACTTTATATATCAGGAACTATTTTGTTCATGAAATGTCATGTATGGTACATTTAAATATTATAGGATTTGTAGCTGAATAAAAGTGTTATTAGAATAAAAACATACCATTTACATCTTTCATTAGTGCATGTTTTTACAAAGAGTTAAGACTTTTAGTGCTGGATTTAGTTGTTATAATGTGTTAAAATGATGAATTAAAAATGTGCTAATATTTGTTAATTGCTAATCAAATTAAATAATAATTAGCAGTTTCTGTTGATCAAATCTACCAAACTACTTTGTCCCTTGCCTATACACATTTCCTGAGTCATCATAACTATTAACTTTCCTTTCAGTCAATGATTAATATTGTTTGACTTGAAAAAATAAATTTTGAAAACTGTGAAATTTTAACCTTTCTAAACTTCGTAGATTTGCCAGTTGCCAAGGTTGAATTTTTTTGTAACTCGAGAAACTGTCATACCTACATATGGATACTCCCTTGCAAAATTCACTGGTACAGAGTGTGTAGGGGCTATAATTCTCCTAAAGCTAAATAGTTCACTGTTTTCTTGAATCATTATCACTTTAAAATTTCCTTAAGTGTGAACAAGTTATTACAAAAAAAATTACAATTTTATCATTACATGAAATGAAATAATTTCAGTCAGGCAATTTGCATTAAAAACAGAAAAAAATCTGAAAGTTTCAAAAGTCGAGATTTAACCATGTATATTTTGGCTTAGTGATAACTTTCACATCATTAGAAATTGAATGGAGACATACAAATAACACATGAGATACAACACAATAACAAAAAGGTGAAAAAGCCACCAAACTAAAGTCTTATGTGAAGATACCATGAAACTATGTTATTTTACTTAAATACATTTAAACTGTATAAACATATAATATACCAACTGGTGTGTGTTTGTGTAGTTCTGTTCAATTAATTATAATTATTTATTTTATAAATATATACATATAGTTTTTTTTTGTTCACAGGGCACTGGCAAGTAGTTGTATATTTTGTTAACTTAATTGTGTAAGTAGAACAGATAAAGTAAATGATTTGTTACTGTTCAATTCACTGACTGACATGTATGTTAGTAGAATAACCTGTAGGAGTTTCATATGTTTCATATCTTTGATAAATATTTGAACATTTTTATTACCACTGTTTTTTATGGAATTTTGATACTACTTCTAAAAGTTTTAAATTAACAATATCATTTGCTATAAACTTAAATATTATCACTGACAGTTTTAAAGCAGTAATATTATTGTCTACCAAAGATAAATACCCATGAACACTAGTATTGTATATTTTTTTTTTCATAGAATGCAATAACAGTTTCAAACTAACATTATTTTTCTTTCACAGAACTTAGATGTTAACCTTGCTGTTAATAACCTGCTGAGTCGTGACAATGAAGAAGGGGAAGATATGGATGATAGTCAAGATTCTTATATGCCAGGTGGTGAGTTTTGTTATATTTTAGGATTGATATTGGTTTAATATATAATTTCAGCTTTTACAAATGAACTGACAAAAGTAATTTTGTAAAATTTTATGCTTTGAAATAATGGTATATCAGTATGTATCTATGAGTTTTATAATTTTATTTTCTCAATATTCTATAGCTGGGAAAGTATAAAATTTTGTGGTATTAAATATATAAATATTACAAAAATATGCAAAAATTCTTGATGATGGTTCTTTGTTATTGTTATTAATTAGTTAACTCTTTCAGAATGGTCTCGGTCCGTGGGGCCGACCTCGTAATCATTTTGTGCTTGTTATACTTTTCATGCTATAACTTTTAAATTAGTAAGTGAATGTTAATGAAATTTGGAAGATTATCAGTAAACATTACAATGCTTTCATACACAAAATATCAAATTTGTCTATTAAGTCTTAAGGTTTGTAAAGCAATGTTTTTCTCATATCTATTTTTTCTTTTTGCATGTTGCCTATCTATCATGCAAAGTATATTCATTTTAAGATTAAAAATACTTTTATGCATCAGAAAATTTTTAAATTTCACTTGCGAAATCTTTATGATATCAAGATAGCCATCAAA